ACTGACACACCGCATTTTAGTTTGGTCTCAGAGCCGCCTGCTCTCGCTCAGAGCGACGCATGTGCCGGGCCATCTGAACGACGGCCCAGACATTCTGTCCAGGAACCTCATCTCCTCAGGAGAATGGTCCCTGAACACACAAACGGTCCAAATACTGTGGCGGCTATTCGGCAGAGCAGAGGTGGACCTCTTCGCGTCAGAAGAGAACGCTCACTGCCCAATATTTTTCTCAAGGAGCGAGGACGCGCTAGCCCAGGAATGGCCTCGCCGCCCGCTCTATGCATTCCCTCCGATCGCTCTGCTACCACAGGTAATTCAGAGGATCAGGGACACACGCCACTCGGTGCTCCTCATAGCCCCGCGTTGGGAGAGTCAGAATTGGGTTCCGGAGCTCACTCAGCTGTCGCAGACAGCCCCGTGGCCCATCCCAGTCAGAGCAGATCTCCTCTCTCAGGCTCGCGGCACGATCTGGCACCCCCATCCACGGCGCTGGGCGCTACATGCATGGGTGATCAACGACTATTCTTTGATTTGCCAGAAGGAGTAAGAAACACTATCATACAGGCTAGAGCACCTTCCACGAGAAGGCTCTATGCGTCTAAATGGTCTGTGTTCTCAAAATGGTGCACCGACAAACATCTGGACCCACGGTCATGCGAGGTGCCGTCTTTGCTTGTTTTCCTTCAAGAGATGCTGGACAAGGGCAGGTCCCCCTCCACTCTCAAGGTTTACGTGGCAGCCGTCGCGGCGTTCTCTGAACCCCGACGCGCTCAGTCCCTGGGCAAAGACGAGTTAGTCATCCGCTTCCTCAGGGGAGCTAAGAGGATGAACCCTCCGCGCCCCCCTTCGGTTCCTATCTGGGATCTTTCTATAGTTCTCGAAGCTATGAAAGCACCCCCGTTCGAACCGCTCGAGTCTGTGGACCTAAAATACCTCTCGCTCAAACCGTTTTTCTGACAGCTCTGTCCTCAGTAAAACGCGTGGGGGATCTTCACGCGCTCTCATCCAGCGCCGCGTGTCTCGAGTTTGGTCCGAATGATTCTGTTGTCATTCTCAAACCTAGACATGGCTATGTCCCGAAGGCGATTGGTACCCCGTTCAGGGCTCAGATTATTTCCCTATCGGCTCTGCCTTCATCCGATAGTGAGCGCGACGCCAATCTCCTCTGCCCGGTGCGGGCTCTGAGATTGTACACTACGCGCGCTGCCGCGTTCAGACGCACTGAGCAGCTTTTCGTGTCGTTTGGGGGGCGCACCAAAGGTCTGGCCGCCTCTAAACAGACACTGTCTAGATGGATAGTAGACGCTATCGCCTCTGCTTACGCATCTAAATGCCTGCCCTGCCCTCTGGGCATCAGGGCGCACTCCACTAGAGGCATGGCCTCATCGTGGGCATGGTCCTGTGGAATTTCCATTCATGACATTTGTGTGGCCGCGGGATGGGCCTCCCCGTCCACTTTTGTCAGATTTTACAACTTGGAAGTTCCCGCCTTGCAGGCAAAATTACTAGCTGTCTAACGACCAGCTCCCTAAGAAGCTGCATTACTGGGAGTCCCTCACACAACCGGTTCGCCCCTTGTGCTCTCCTTAAATGCTTATACACTTCATGTGCCCGCTCTGCCGGCCTCATACATGTTTATGTATACACTTCATGTGCCCGCTCTGCCGGCCTCATAATACATTCACTCCACGTTAAAAATCCCCCGGTATCACCCTGGGATTCATGAGTGGATTCATAGCGCGCACGGCGTTGACCAGGTGTTCCCGCAGCGTAAGCTAGCTTACGCAATACGAGAGAACCTCTCGTAAGAGAACGAATCGGTTACCTAACGTAACCTCGGTTCTCTCTAGAAGAGGGAACGAGTATTGCGTTCCCGGCCGTGCTTGCGCTACTAGCGTTTCGCTTCACGCTGAAATAAATCAACATATAAGCCTGGGAGAGACTGTTATATACACCATGGCCACGCCCATTCTGGCGGGCCATGACGCAATGAGCGCGCGGGCGCCTCTCATTGGAAGCGGGTTCAGCCCCGCTCTCCCATAGGCTTAAGCAGTTCTCTCTGAGCGAACCAATGAGCTGCTAGCTAGCCTGCTCTAGGTCTGCCGCAGAGGAACTGCGTTGTGTATGGATACAAATTATGAAATAATTTTTGGCTTCAATATCTCAGCAAAGATGAATCTTTCCCCCACAGCGTAAGCTAGCTTACGCAATACTCGTTCCCTCTTCTAGAGAGAACCGAGGTTACGTTAGGTAACCGATTCGTTTTCTCTGATGATCAGCTCGCGCACCACAGCTATGCGTTACTATACACACGCTGCCTGGTAGGCCTATCGGTTATTGGTATCAGAGCATTTTTACGAGTACATGAGCTCGGTATCGGTGCATCCCTATAATAATTCAAGCATTTTTCAAGTACCTCTTCAAAAATATGGCTGTTTTCAAGGGTTTTCCAGGACTTAAATTTCAAAAAGTCAAATTCAAGTACTTCAAGCACTTTAAGCACCTTGTACGAACCCTGAAAACAACAGATTATGATGAGAAATGATGAGTGGTGTTTGCCTGTGCAAAATGCTGGTGTTTCTGAGATGTTTTAGTGGATTTTAGTATTGATATGCAGTAGCTATTGTGGTTTATTACTGGCCAAAAGTATTAACGGTTACACTTTATTTTGATAGTCCACTTTTAATATTCTACTGACTATAAGTAACTTTGTAACTACATGTCAACTAACTTTCATTAGAGTATAGTAGGCTATACAGTTAGGTTAAGATTGGTAGAATAAGTAGACAGTAGGGGTGTATACACGTATTCGTATCGAACCGTTCGGTTTTCGGTACTCATTTTCAAACCGAACGGTTCGTTTGACCATTTTTCCTGCCGACCAAAATTTCGTTATTTCAAATGTAGGCGCGTCGCAAGCGCGCTCATAATGTAAGAGACGCTGGCGTGACCACAACATTGCCCAACATCAGATGGCAAATGTAATGTAAGCGGAACGAAACCACTCGTTATTGTGTGGTTGACGGACCGTTTATCAGTGTGGACCAATGCAGCGCGAGCCGATCTTGATCATCAGCACTGTCACTACACACTACACAGCGCTGAGACATCCAGTAAAGAAAGCATTTGAATTCGCTACTGAAGTAATAACATGCGAGATCTAGTGAGAAACATTCACATTTCTCCGTTATTAACGGATCAAACAGCGCTGACGTGGAAACCAGGAAGAAACATTGTGCCGAATGAACTATCCAGTGTCCACAGATCGGCAACATTCACCATGGGTTTACTGTAGTAACACTACTAACTGCATGGAGTTTGGCAGGAATAGGCTATAATGCTTTCAAGTAACATCACGTCGGTTTTATTTTGACATTATGAATACAATTGCTGCCCTCAAATGTTAATCTGAACTAAAATAAACCTTTGTTTATAACTACTACAATATTACATTTCATTTTGTCCAAGGAGCTGTTTTGTTTTATATGCTCCTAAGAAAAGTCCAGTATAGCTCCATCATTGCTCAAAGTAAAAAAAAAAAATCATACTTTATGATGTTAGTTTTAATAAAAATATAATAAAAAAAATTAAATCAAGGAAATTTCTCTGGCATTTCTTTCTTTTTGCTGTACCGAACCGAACAGTGAAACAAGTGTATCGTATCGAACCGTGAATTTTGTGAACCGTTACACCCCTATAATGTCTATTGAGGAGCATCAAAATAAAGTGTTATTAGATATTATGCAGACAGTCTACTAAAACTCTAATGAGAGTTAGACATGTAGTTGCAAAGTTACTGATAGTTAGTAGAATGTCTAAAGTGGACTATCGAAATAAAGTGTAACCGAACTGACGCTCGAGTCTGTGTGATATTCTGGTCTCTAGATATGACTCGGGTCGCTTCTTCAATGCGAGTCTGTGGGATTTTATCATCAAACAGGTATAAATTGTGGGTCTGATCAGAAAAGTAACAACATTTTACACACTGAAGTTTAATGCATAGTCTTACTAGCTCTGTAAACTGAAATGGATTTGGGGGTTTTCTGAGATGTTGTAATCTCATCTCTCTCACTTGTGTTATTTTAGTATTATTTATATAGCTTTATAGTATTTATTAATATTTTAATTGAGCTTGTTTTTATATTAAACAGCTTTCATTTAGTAATACCTTTATGTGCTTTAACTCTTTTGGTTAGTTAATATTTCTATTTAGCTTCAATTTTATAAAGCTAAATTAATTGTAGTTTTAATATTTTTAGTATTTCAGCTGCAATTTATTTATTTCAGTTTGTTGTAACATTTCTAATTTTCTATTTTTTCTAAAATATTTACACTACCGTTCAAATGTTTGAGGTGAGGAAGATTTTTTTTGTTTGTTTTAAAGAAATTATTAATTTTATTCAGCAAGGGTGCATTAAATTGATCAAAAGTGACAGTACACTCTAAAAAAGATTCTTTATTGGCATTGATGGTTCCATGAAGAAACTTTAACATCCATGGAATCTTTCCATTCCACAAAAGGTTCTTTATAGTGGAAAGTTCTTTAGATTTTTAAAACACTTTTAAGAACTGTTCACTGAAAGATTCTTTCCGGGACCAAAAATGTTTCTTCTACGGCATCACTGTGAAAACCACCGTTTGGAAAAGTGTAGAGACAAAATATTTCTATGTTTCAAATGAATGCTGTTCTTTTGACCTTTCAAAGGATCCTAGAGATTGATGCTGAAAATTCAGCTTTGATCACAGGAATAAATTACATTTTACAATATATTTACATAAAAAACAGTTATTTTAAATTGTAATGATATTCCACAATATTACAGATTTTACTGTATTTCTGATCAAATAAATGCAGCCTTGGTGAGCAGAAGAGACTTCTTTCAAAAACCTTACGGACTCCAAACTTTTGTACAGTAATGCATATCTTACTTTATTTCAGCTTTATTTCAATGAACGGTTTGATCAGCTTTATTTAAGAAGAACAGCTCTGTCTGACTCACATCACAGTCCTGAATGTCGTCCATGGCGAGCAGATTGTTTCCGTGGCGCAGCTGGAACTGGACGATGTGCAGCGCGGTCTGGATCTCCAGCCGGTGTCGGGCCGCATGCGCACCGGACTCGGCCTCGCGCAGAAGCTCCTGAAGCAGAAGACTGTACTTACTGATGCGCTGCACGGGCTTCAGCAGGTACGAGGACAGATCCAGCGCATCACACAACAGCTGCTGTTTCTGCTGTTGAACCAGATCATATCACTGTTATTAATTACAGCATCTCAAAGAACTGATTACTCAGGCACTGATTGTGATTATTAAACTCATGAATAATGGTCCAAAAGAGGACATTTTATGTACATCAGTGTTATTTTAGTATCACTGAGACACTATTATAGCTTTTACCAATATTTTGAATTCGTTTTTATTTTTATATTTTCTGTTATAATTTTATTTTAGTTAAAGTTTTAGTCATTTTGTTGTGTTTTTGTCATTTTTATAAGCTTTTGTTTCTATTATGTCTATAGGTTATATTATTTTTTATTCCGGTTTACTTATTTAAGTACATCAAGTTTGTTTAATTGAGTTGAAAATAAAGTAAAAATGTTAAAAAAAAATGTTTAAATGAAAATAAAGTTAAAATATTTTATTTTATTTTAACATGAGTTAAAATAAAAATTGTTAGGTTATGATATTATCATCAATACTGCTTTGACTATTTTGCAAAGTCAACACCAAATATTTGTCATTATTATTTGTATCATAATTATCTGACATGGTAATTTGCCATGTTGAGTTTGGGTTATAGACGTGTCCTGTCTGGAAAAGTGCACTGTTATTACGCAGATGGTGTATTTGCCCTAATCATATTTAATACTTCTCATATTTAATACTTTAGTACTTCTCATTCCAAGTACAATCACATTTCTGGCAAACTAAAGCTTTTAGCAGAATGGCAGCAACATTTCCCAATGAGGCCTGTTCCAGCGCATATGTGGGCATTACTTTAGATTTGATCAGATGTGTGAAATATTGGCTTCCCATTATGGGAGTTTACAGTAAGATTATGAAAGAGTTTATGTGGTAATATCATAATCTTACTGGAAACTTTCTAGTATTTTGCAACAGAAAGGAGCTTCTACAGGTCCTTCATGTACACAGTGTAGTACTTCAGAGACATACAAATGCTTACAAATCTTTAGTTTTTGAGTGATAGAATATTGAATTCATAGATTGATTTTATTGTATTTGTAATAAGGAGGTAATGAAATGAGGAATCAAATTTGCCTTGATCTTTTGAGAGGTCTGTGACCTTCAAAACATCCTTTTTAAATGTTTTATGCGATATCTCAAAATGTGCATAAAAACACGTGGATGGAAACATAGCTAGATCTTCAGCGTCACTTTTTCTTACACTGCATAAAAGTCGGTCTAAATGTAAAACATACATTCAAATTCAGATGAATACTAACGTGTTTGGCTTAAGATATCAAATGTGTGTCACTTATGAAAGAAAACTGTGAGGAAGAGACTCACCTTGAAGAAGTCCTTCCCGTGATCGATGAGCATCCTCTCAGAGCGTGGCTTGTTCTTGCTGTATAATGCGTACAGGCCGAAGTTTTCTTTCTGAATGTGAGAGACGAAGTGTTAGAATCATTGGTTTCACACAGTGGACTTTTTGCATGTTCTTTCCGATTCTTTGTGTGAAGACATTAACGTGTTATAAAGGTGATTCCCAGTTAACAGGGAACGTCCCCAGAACTTCTGCAAAGGTTCTTAGTAACATTAATAGAACGTTTGTTCAAAGTTATCTGGTCTTTAACCCTCTGGGGTCCTTCATTTCAGAGTCACACTCAGGACCTTCGGGTCCAAATGGGCCGGAAGGGTGGGATTAATATTTATTAAAAAAAAATCATCTTTTTTTTTTTTACTTGTTTTTTATAATATTTTTTCTTTTCTTTTTTGGTGTTTTGAGATAATTTCAAAAATAAAAATGATTTATAATTAATATTAATGCAATAATTATGACCCATTTTTTCCCCATTGAATATAATAGAAATTTAAAAAAAATATATATATTTTTTTTTTTTTTTTTTAAAGCTGTATTTCATTTTAGAGTCAAGCCTAGGCCTCATGAAAGCAATTTTTGAAATGAGATGGATGCCATCTGGTGGACAAACTGAGCATTTTAAAAATTCTAAACCCATATGTAATCTGAATTTATTAGTGTGTGTGTGTATAAAAGTGTGTTTGTGTGTGTGTGTGTGTGTGGATGTGTCTGTTTTGCACTCTTGATGTTTTATAGATTCACCCCTTCACTGTTGTGTGCTTTTTTTCTGGATCGTGGCTGATTTGTAGTTTGTACGCACAAAATAACTCTGTATTTTCACATTTTTGCCAATTTCCCATTCATTTCCTATGCGGGTCCATTTGGAAGGTCCTGAGTGTGACTATTTTTTTTACAACCACTTAGACTATTCAAATCCCCTGTCCCCAATTTTTTGGGGTGTTCATATGCCAAGTACCAACAAAGTCACCAAATTTCGGACCATTCCGATAAAGCAATGGCAACCCAGAGGGTTAATAATGTTCTCAAAATGATAGCACAGAAACATTATGGGATGCTTTTTCTAAAACATTTTTAGTGATGTTTGTCTAAGATTTTTTAAATGTTACTACTCGTTTCAGAACGTTCAAAAGTAACATTCAAAAGTAACGTTCTCATAATGTTTGCAAAATTGTAAAATGGAATGTTCCGTTAACATTCATATAACCGAGAAAAAACATTTTTAGAACGTTCAGAGAACATTCAGAAATAACGTTTTCATAACTTAATGGCAATGTTGGCCAAACGTTCTTAGAACATATTTCTGTTAGCTGGGTGCTTGAGTGTGACATTATATCTATACAAGATATTTTATATTTATTAAAAGAAAAAGGGTGAATTTTGACAAATGAACACATTTTCCCCACAAATTCTTATTACAGTAATACATCCAAACATTTCACTTTTATTTTTGTTGTTGTTGTAACATTTATTATTCCCAATGCTGTTGTTATTTAAAGAAGAATTGTTTTTATCTAAAGCAGAATAAATTAAAGACTCTATGACAAATTCTATAATGATGCAATTTAAATACTACATAAGTTTTTCTTTTTGCACAACAATAATAAGAATTTGGAAGAGGAAATGTTCTTAACTGTCATGAAAAAATGTCACAATGCAAAAAAATGGACATATGAATAGTCATAAAAATATTATGATATCCTAAATATTTAGGCTTAATTTCCTTTATGCAAAATATAATTGCTTTATTTGATACAATTTGGGGGTGAAATGTGACATGGACATGTTTTGTTTTGTGAGTTGTATGGTTCTTTCAGTAAAGCTGTATTGGTTTCTAGGTTCTCTGAAGCAGCAACACATCAAAACTCTTTAAATCGGAGCTTTAAAGCTCGGGTATCAGGCTGTAAAGCTCACGTGTTTTAAGAAGCAGCGTCCGACACAGAAGGGCTCCTGCAGACACAGCTCCAGTTCCTGAAGAAAGTGATGCTGGTGGAAGTCTCGCAGCTTCTCCAGGTTTCCAAAGATGCTCCCTCTCTGTCCCCGCAGGTCCTGAGGCACGTCGGGACGCTCCAGCTGAGGGATGTAGTGATCCACCACGTAGCCCAGCGCTCGCACATACTCCCTCTCCGTCTGGAGCAGCTCCTCCATGATGCGCTGCAGTTTACTGTCAGGACACACACACTGATGCAGTTTACTGTCAGGACACACACACTGATGCAGTTTACTGTCAGAACACACACACATACAGTGCTGCTGCTGTCTGACATGATCTCTAACAAATAACAGACAAACTGATCTCAATAATCTTACAACATTTACCGCCAGGACACATTTGTATAATTCAATCTAAGACATGTTTTGGACATTGATGCTACTGATGCTTCTGTCCTGACCTGAAATATGAGTTAAAATGAAGAACTTTAGTCAGGAATCATCACATTTACCCAGAGGCATATATAGTATATGGTTATAAATAAAATATATAAACCATATATTTATATAAATTATAAATGGTTATAAAATATGGTTTCCAATAAATATACATCACATACTGTATCTCTAGTTCCCTTTCAGTCAGTCACGTTCTACGTTACGTCAGAACGTCTGACGAATAAGGGCTCGTTTCTCAGGCACCCTTTGGCACCCGCATCACGATCTGTGGAACCGGCACGTGTGGGCGCTGGGACGGCGGGAACTACCATCACTTCGGCTAGGGCCCCGTCCACCCGACACGCCTATGCTTTGAAGTGGAACCTCTTCATCACCTGGTGCTCTTCTCGCCGAGTGGACCCCTGGAAAGATCCGATCGGGTCGGTGCTCTCCTTCCTTCAATAAGGGTTGGAACGAAGGCTGTCTCCTTCCACCCTCAAGGTCTACGTGGCTGCCATTTCACCCCATCATGATTTGGTGGACTCTAAGCCACTAGGACAGCACAACCTGGTCATCAGGTTCCTGCGAGGAGCTAGGAGGCTCAATCTGCCCCGCCCTCAGCATGTACCCTCTTGGGATCTCTCAGTGGTTATATCTGCACTGCAGAAAGCTCCCTCCCGAGCCATTGGTCTCAGTGGAGCTTAAGTTCCTGGCATTTTCGGTTGACAAAGCGTGCCTGGAGTTCGGACCGGCTAACTCTCACGTGATCCTGAGACCCCAGCCCGGCTACATGCCCAAAGTTCCCAACACTCCCTTCAGGGACCAGGTGGTGAACTTGCAAGCGTTGCCGCTGGAGGAGGCAGACCCAGCCCTGGCGCTGCTCTGTCCAGTATGCGCCCTTCGCGCTTACGTAGACAGAACTCAGTGCTTCAGGACCTCAGACCAGCTCTTTGTCTGTTATGGAGGCCAGCAGAAGGGAAAGGCTGTCTCCAAACAGAGGTTGTCCCACTGGATAGAGGATGCCATTAGCTTGGCCTACGAAGCCCAAGGCTTTTCCATGCCCCCTAGGGGTGAAGGCACACTCTACCAGGGGTGTTGGCACCTCCTGGGCGCTGGCGCATGGCACCTCGCTAACAGACATTTGCAGAGCTGCGGGCTGGGTGACACCTAACACATTTGCGAGATTCTACAATCTCTGTGTGGAGTGTCCTCCCGTGTACTCGCTTCAATTAGCCAGTAAGTAGGACCTGCTCGTTGTCATTCGCTTGCTGCGCCATTCCACTCCACGGACGGGATGCGTGCGCCAATTTCCTCAGCTTGAACCCTGGGTTCCTCCAGCAATGTTAAGTCTAACACCTGTGCGCTGCCCAGTGGTCAGCCCTTGTGTCAGACTAGGTGCCTCCATATGTTGCGATTACCCTGCTCGGGCAATCCCACGTGTGTGTTTCCACGGTAAGTCTCTTGGTAGCACGTGTCTTTCCCTTGGCAAGACCATTCTTGCCTCTCTGAGGTTGAAATATCTCCACCCTCTGGCTCGGTTACCTCAGAGATCTTCCATATGTTTTCCACCTAGGCAGTTCATGTGTGTATTCCTAAGTCCTCCCTACGGGTAGGCATCATGCTTGCATTTTCCTGATGGAATTTGCTACCCAGTGTACCTTGGTAACTCTTGGGTTAAGCTTAGCCCTTCGCTTTTGCTGGCCTCACTACAGGGAGCTGTGGCTAGCGCAGGGCACTGGAAGACAGCCATTTGGCGATTTTCCACTGCATGGTACGGTACGGCTCGTCTCGGTACGGCTCACTTGTGACGCTTTTCCACTGCATGGTACGGTACGGCTCGTCTCGGTACGGCTCACTTGTGACGCTTTTCCACTGCATGGTACGGTACGGTACGGCTCGCTTTAAATGGTACCACCTCTGTTGAGGTTCCAAGCGTACCGTACCGATACTAAAATGTGACGTGAAAACACTGCAGATCACTGATTGGTCAGACAGAATCGTCACTACCAGTGTCATTGTATTTGCGAGACATCGAACCCGCTAGATTTAAATAGCCAGTAACAGCCACCGCTGTAGCACCTGTTTTAAAACTACTAAAAAAGAAAGAAAAAAAACGTCCAAAAAAGAAATGACTGAATCGTGGTCAGTGGACGAAGTGCAGACGTTCCTCTCGTTGGTTGCCGAGGAGCGGATAAACTATAATGATCAGTCTATAATCCCACTTTAAAGCGGTACTAACTGCAGTGGTAAAGCAAACCGAGCTAAAGCGAACCGAACCGAGCCGTGCCGAGCCGAGTCGTACTACGCAGTGGAAAAGCGAAGCGATTCGAACCGTGCCGCGCCGAGCCGAACCGTACCGAGCCGTACCAGCAGTGGAAAAGCGCCAATTGTGGCATTTTGGACAGGACCCCATTCGTCAGACGTTCTGACGTAACGTAGAACGTGACTGACTTAAAGGGAACGTCTCGGCTACGTATGTAACCCTCGTTCTCTGAAGGAGGGAACGGAGACGTTACGCCAGAACGCCTTCAGGGAACGAGGGTTACATACGTAACCGAGACGTTATTTGTAATGGAAATAATGTTATAAAACTATTTCATTAAATATTGTTTTATGATAATATTAAAACAATTTTATTTAAATAATATAGAAACTATATTAAATAAATCGCGTGGATCCGTGTGTTAATTTTTTTATGTAAACTATATTTTTGGATAATATAATATTACAACTATTTTATTACATATTGTTATATAATATTAAAACTATTTATTCATGTGGTAATGATTATATATAGTCATAGTCATTATAGTCAGTTATAAAGTCATTTAATATAGAATAATTATTTTTACAGATATTAATAAAACTTTTTATTAAATATTATTTTACTATAATATCAAAGCAATTATATTTTAATAATATTTTAACTATATAAAATAATCATGTGGTACTGATTCTTTTATTTTTCATTTATAATGGAAACTATATTTTTGGATAATATAATATTAAAACTATTTTATTAAATATTATTTTCTTATAATGCTAAAACCATATTTTTGGCTAATATATTATTAAAGCATGTGATAATGATTATTTTACTTTGAATTTATAATGGAAACTACCGTAGTTTTTGGAAAATCTAGTGAAAATGTAATTAAACGTGCTTCACCTCTTTTGATTATTTTCTCTGTAATTGGAACTTGATGGATGCAAAACAAAAGTTGCACTCATCATGTTATTAACAAATTCCTTCTCATCATGTCCTGCTCTGTATGATCAGTTCTTTCTCAGTATCTTCACATCATGATTCTCATCACTCTCATTAGAATAATGTCGTATGGTGTATTGGTTAAGTTGGACTCACAGTACAGTGCTGCTGCTTTCCAGTATCCGCACAGACTCTGGATTATCTGAGCGTGTTGCTGCTGAAACGTCGTCAGATTTGGTGTCACTGCTGAACTTCTCATGTATGTCACTTTGGCTTGAACAGATGCTGTCGCGGTGCGAGCTCTGTTCATCCCATGATGCTCTGTCTGAGCCAATGACCATGATCCTCTCTTGACAGGAAACTGCAGATGTCTTCTTATGCACATGCTTGATCGCAGCATTGCCTTTGCTCATAGAATCATAACTAGTGGATCGTGAGCAAGAGCCTTCACTATGAGAGCGGACCAGGGCTTCATAATGTGGCAAGCGGTCATACTTATTGACATGGCCTGACTTTCTGAGATCACTGTCGCTGTGAGAGTATATCCGAGGACGCCTACTTAACTTTTTGACCGGGCCATTGTGTAATGAGGAAACTTCGCCTTCACTTTGGCGAAAATGCTGATTCCTTCCTTCCTCTTTGAGCTGACCTTGCAGTTCAATCAGTGCAGATTCTTTGTGTGTGTTTTCAGTCATTATCGGATCACAGTTTGATGATGTGTTTCTCCTAACAGGCTCGAAATGCGTCACTGTCTCATTATCATAACTATTTCTGGTCTTCACATGACCGCCAACAGGGTTTGTTTGGGGGTCGCCTTCATTTTCTCTAAGGCTAGTAATTACGGTCCGAGTCGGACCTTTCAAGTGGGCCTCGCTTTCCTTTCCTGGCGTTCCCAGAGGGATTTGACTTCTGTAAGAGGCCTGCAGTATCTCCGCGAGTCTCTGTCTGATGTCTCGGCATTGAGCCCGGACTGCATTCCACATCAATGACCCGTCCGGGAGCCTCTCCAGCAGTGCAGCGCTCCTGTCCTGAAAGTGTTGGGGGGAGAAGTCCTTCAAACGCTCCTCAAAAGCCTTCAGTCTACTCAAGCAGGCACACATAGGAGGGTTTGTGGTCTTTATGTGATCTAAATACTCCATACACTCTTTAACAAGAGATGAGGCCTGGAAAACGAAGAAGATAAAAGTCATTTCAAGGCTATTAAATAGTTATGCAATAGAAGAGGTGGGCATTATATATATATATATCACAATATGGGAATATTATTTATATTAGTTCATTTTATATATATACACCATTGGTCAAAAAGTTTGAAATAATATATTTTTTTAATATTTTTAAAATAAGTCTCTTCTGCTCACCAAGGCTGGATGGATTTGATCAAAAATTCAGTAAATACAGTAAAAACAGTGAAATATTATTACAATGTAAAACAGCTGTTTTCTATGTGAATATATGTTCAAATGTAATTTATTTATGTGATCAAAGCTGAATTTTCAGCATCATTACTTCAGTATCACATGATCCTTCAGAAATCATTTTAATATGATGATTTGCTGCTCAGTTATTATTGGTGCTTTCACAATCTTTAACTGATGAACTGCCAAGACTTTTTCCAGTTGTTTGTGATAATTATTTTAAATAATTTTGCTTCAGACATATGCACTATCAAATAATTTAAGAGCTGGTTTTGACTGATTCACTGAAAAGAATCGACTCAAAAGAATGATTCACTCACAAAATATATATATATATATATGGTTATCTATGGTTTGCAAGCAAGCAATATCATCCAAATTAAATATTTTACTGCTCTGCGCAATTTTTGTTTATTAACTATATAAAAAATTGCCTTCGCTTTCAGATTTGATTCGTGTCTGGAAAACACAGTTTAAAAATTCCCTGATGGCTTTCCATGACCCTATGGTCTAATTGCTAATAACTATATTTATTTATTTTTGCAATATCTTGTTTCCCAGAGTAATATATCACATTGCATAAGTAAAATGTCCATGTTAATGATTGTCCATGTATGCTGACTAACCTCTTCACAGAAACGGCACAGATCCCGAGACGCCTCCAGCTCAGATTTACGCTCCTCAGCCTTCAGGAGAAACCCAGTCATGTTGGTTTTGAAAGTGACGGTGTTACAGCGAAAAACGTCACTTTCAGGATAATGCATTCCTTTGCTTTTTCTCTCCACTTCCTTTATCAACAACATCCCTTTTACCTTTTTCTCCTAGAAAAACAAACCAACAAACATATGTTCTTTTCCCTGTACACATAATGCAGAATATCAAAAATGTCTGAAACCTCATGAACCTTTAGCTTTTCTCATTATTTAAGAGACGCACATTCCTGAACCATATTCATTATCAGAAAAACTCTGGTATTATTTGTATTACTTTTTGATTAATTTGCACTCGACAGTCCACATAAATCCATAACACAATCTAAGTCTGATAACATTCAGGCATTTTAAGATTCATATTCTGGCCATCCATCTTCTTTTGGTCATATATTTGAGTGAATGTCTTGAGGATTTGTTACCTTTGCTTGTATAAGAACAGACTGAATGTCTTTGAGTCTCCGCTCTATTTTCGGCAGGCTTTTCTCTGTGCCGTCGTTGTCCTTCTGCCATGACTCTTCCTCTTCATCACACCATGTTTGGATCTGTGAAAAACATAAACAATAATTATAAACACGCTGAATTTATGCTATTAATGCAGAAAAGATACTGCGGACTCCAGTAGATCTTTGCTACAATGAGGAAAATACACAACTATTTACACTCATCCCTCAGTTTACATAAAACAATAAGACTTTTCAATACGGTTTCAGTTGTTAACATTAGTTGACATGAACTTACAACAAACAATACTTCAACAGCATTTACCCAGCTAAAAGTGAAGTTATGATGAGCAACATTCGTCCAGTAACTTTAATAGAACGTTTGTTCAGAATAATCCGGTCTTTAATAATGTTCTGATGGAAAGAATGGAAAGAAAAGCAAGAAAAAGGGACGTTTTATTTCTGAAATATATAATGTTACTAGTTTCAGAATGTTCAGTAAACATTCAAAAGTAACATTCCCATAATGTTTGCAGAAATGATCAAATGGAATTTAAAAAAAATAAAAACTTGATGTTTTGAATGTTCAAAGAACATACAGAAATAATGTTTTCATAACTTAATGGGAACGTTAGCAGAACGGGGTATTAATCTTAGTTAATGTTAATATCAATATCAACAGAGTTGTATCTGTTAATGCACTGTGAATATTATTACTAACTATCGTTAGGTTAATAAATGGTTTGAAAATATATTGCTCATTACTAGTTCATGTTAACATATTTAATAGATCAGAAGGGTTTCTCTCTCGAAACTTTTAACCAAGTTTTACTGGATTATACTGCATAAGCAAGTGTATTGAAGTTTAAAAGAAAAATACATTTCAAGTGCATTAATGCACACGTATATAATATACACAATATAAACTAATGTAATTTTTGACAACACACTTCAGTTGAAATTAAAATAATTTATTTTACCTCTGCTTTAGTTTATTAGTCAGTACATCAAAATAAGTCTTTAAAGCATACAAAAACATTATTTAAAATGTATTTGTATGTAAAACTTAATTAGACATCATTACAAAGTGATTTTTTTTTTAAATGTATACTTTTAGAATTTGAAGTACACTAAAAGTGTACATTCAATACAATTAAGCACACTTCTTTTTCACAAGGGAATACATTAACTAATGCTTAACTATTGTAAAGTGTTACCAATTAAACACAACAATCATGGTTACGCACAATGGAAGTGAATGGGACTGTGCACTTTGAGAGTTTAAAAGCACAAATGTGAAGCTTGTATTTTTGTTAAAGCACTAAAATAAATTATTCATCATTTTTTTAAAAGTGGATCTACTTTTCTTTGCTGATGGACATCTACGAGACATTATTCCTATGGGTTGAGTTTGCTAAATTTAAACAATACTTAATGGATTGCATTCCTTTCTGCTATCCTTATGCATTTTATGCCACAGTTGCCATCTTTCCCGGATTTGCATGGTTGAATATAATAATAATATAATGTAATTGAACTGTGCATTTTAACATGTATTACCTTGGCTTGCCCTTTACTTTCACTAAGGGAAGAGTCAAAGTTATTTTCTGTGGTAAAATAAATTGTGCCACAAATGCAGTTGCACCAAAACGTTCTCTTTTAACAGCGGAAGAGTTGCGCTCACTTTATTTAGCGCAGTGATGTTATGCTTCACTGTGAAGGTTGAGACTGTCTGCTGATTAATTCTCTACAGCAGACATGTTTCACTTCACAATGTTTGTCTTGAGTTATTTTCAGGGCTTTCTGTGGGCTGTGCTTATTATCCGTCATAAACCTGCATTCAGTGATGGGATGTAATGCATACTGTGCTGAGCGAGTCTTCTGTTTCTCTCAGCAGGAGAACGTGTACGAGATGTCGCAGGGACTGGTTGGATTTCATCACTAGCGTGTGAACGGCCTCTTCCACCTGGTTATACAGACACGTCACAGACTCCAGAGAGTCCCTGCACGAGAGAAAAGACACATGCAGATACTGTAAATATAACACATTTTACACATTTTAATTAATATATGGTAAATATTGAGAATTACAGGCTGGTGAAAACCTATTCTCTACCCTTTCTTCTGTTGAACACAAAAAATGAAGATATTTGGAAGAATATGGGTAACCAAACAGTTGATGGACCCTATTGACTTCCTAGTATTGAAAAAAATCAATAGGGTCCAATAACTGTCTGTTTGGTTACAAACATTCTTCAAAATATCTTCTTTTGTGTTAAGCAGAAGAAAAAAATTCATACAGGAATCATATTTGGAACAACATGAGGTAGGGCTGCATGATTATGAAAAAAAAATCATAAGTGTTGATTATTCCCTTGAAATTGTAATTGCGATTATCACAATTTACATTGAATGATGTTTTGAATAGCTTTATGCCATTGTTTGAAGCGACTGCAAGCCATATTGTAATATCAAAATAAATAAGATGAAAACTCTCTTCCTGAAAAACTTTTAATGCTTTTCTATAGCATTACGCCTCAAATGTCAAATTAAAACAATAGAAAAAACCCTTAAGATAAGCTGTAGAAAGAAAGAAAAAACACATCTTAAGCGCACAGAATAATCTAAGTGGACTTTTGTTTTGTAATTGCGCCTTTGAACGATTACATAATTGTGGCATTCGTAATTGTGCACCCTAACATGAGTGTGAGTGTTTTTGGGTGAACTATCCCTTTAAATGATATAGTGGTCCTCCACGAGTCCAGTGTGTGTATAAAGGCTCTTGCTGTCGGGTAAACAGGATAAACTTGCACAGCTGCATAACATCATGTGCACAGCTGAGCTCTAACCATGATCAGTCCTGCTGAGACTCAAACACACTGAGGGAAATACCTGAAGTCTTCAGACTGAGCGAATCGAGACTCCTCCTTCCTCATCCTGGCGAGAATAGACCCGCCCTCTCGTTGCAGAGCGACCAATCGGGTGTCCTCCAGCACCATCTTCATGGAACGCCTTTGCTCCTGGATGCAGGACTGGACATCCTGAACGATCGGATTGGTTAGTTTAGGAGCAACATTCCCCAAGAGGTCAAATTAAATAAATGAGATTTTTTATTTTTAATGGGGGGAAATCATGCGGTATCTGGATTGAGAGCACGTAAACCGTTTTATTTTGCATTTATTTTAAATGAGGTTTGCAATTTTTGCAATTAAAAATAAAAATCAACATTTATATATATATATATATATATATATATATATATATATATATATATATATATATATATATATATATATATATATATATATATATAATTATTATTACTATTATTTTTTAAATTATAAATTATAACTTTTTTATTATAATGGGGGAAATCATGCGGTATCCAAATTGAAAGCAAATTGAATGTACTGCCAACATTTATGTTCATTTTCTGTTACATAATAATTTATCAAACATATCTAATAGTTCTCATTACAAAAACATGCCATTGTACCTTTAATTAGGGATGCACAATATAACTACAATATAACTTAATTTCCCCTATTTTTCGATTTAGATCACCTTTTCCATCACCTACTGCTTACTTAAAGTTCATCTTTAAAAACTCTAATGATGTTAAATGTTATAATCTTTACCAAATTTCAGAAGTAATTTACATGTTTTTTTAAGTTTTGATTCCTACATTCATTTGCAGCAACTACAATGGTTGTGTGTACTGTTTTATTTTGATTTTATTTATAAAATAGAACAGAATTTAATATCAGCCATTTATCAGTTGTCTGCCATAACGTATAAATAATTGCCATCTTATCATATCGCTGAGAATGTTTATATTGGTGCATCCCTACTTTTAATTTAATGGGATACAAAAGTGTACTCTAATCACGGAAAGTTTCAGAAATGAAAATGACCTTTGCCGTGTCTGTTTTTTTAACATCAAGTCTCCTGATTGCTGTCTGTAGTAATGAAGAAGCTGCTTGAAGGTCGAGTTGAAAGAGGGAAAGTTTCTAAAAAAGACACATATATGCAAAAACACATGTTAGATAATCGTCATACGTGATTCAACAGAACGGATCCAAAGCATGTGTCCAGCAGACAGACTCAACTGCGAGCCATCAAGTTGAAATGTAGTTTCAACTGTAGAAATGTAGTTTCAAATGAAATGTAGTTTCAAATGTAGAAAAGTTGCGTTGTTGCATTTGTAAGTTAAAGTGTCTTTCGGGGTCTCTCAGATGTTAAAGAGACAAAAGACATTTGTTGTTGTCAGAAATGTGCGGTCTACTTCACCAGAACTGATTGTGCAAGTTGACTCGCATCTGTTAAAAAATGTTTTAACAGCTGTATACTTGTGCTTTGAGAGGACTGATTACACAAGCATGTTCTTACTACAGAAACCAAACAAAAAATGTTTAGACTGTGAGTGAGCAACACCTTTAACTGTAATTTATTTTTAATGATAGTAGAAAGAGAGAGGACAGGAAACTATGGGTCAGGAAATGCCTGTGCATCAACATTTAGATAGAAGTACAGAAAAGAGAAGAGAAATATAATCCCAGTGTCATTGCAACGCTACAGACATCCATGAGAAGGATAATGTCACTGGGTGTTTGTGCGACCGCTTCTTCTCCTACCTGGTGAAACTGCAGCCAGTCTTCATGACTGTAAGGGAAGGTCCCGCCAAGGTCAGAGGTCAACTGCTGTCCGTCAACTGTCTTTTGAAGAGCTTTTAGTGTTGTCACAACATCTATCTAAAAGAAATGATAACATACCGTACTGTACAAGTGTGTGTGAGACCCAAGCACTGTTTGAAACCCACAATCTTTTATTATTATTTTTAAAACGATTTTTTTTATGTTTTGAAAAGTCTCTTCTGCTCACCAATGCTGCATTTGTTTAATCAGATATACAGTACAAAATGTGAAATATTATTGCAATTTTAAATAGCTGTTTTCTATATGAATATATGTTAAAGTGTAATTTATTCCTGTGATCAAAGCTGAATTTTCAGCATCATTACTCCAGTCTTCAGTGTCACATGATCCTTCAGAAATCACTCTAATATGATGATTTGCTGCTCAAGAAATATTTATTATCAATTAATATTTATTGTCGATATTATCAATGTTGAAAACAGTTTTTGTGTGTTTGGAAACCACGATACCCCACGATTATTTGATGAATAGAACATTCAAAAGAACAGCATAAAACAGAAAAAAAAAAAATGTCTTTACTGTTGTCACTTTTGATTTTAATGCATCTTTGATGAATAACACTATTTGTTTCTTTCAAAAAACAAACAACCCTTAGTTCAGGCAGACATCAGACGTGGATATCTGAAGTCAGTGAGAGCAGACATTCCAGGTGTTAATTAAAGGGTTGCATGTTTCCGTGAAGGTGTAATTGCTGGGTAGAACGAGTGTGTTTGGGGGTGTTAATTACCTGTAGACCAGGATGTTTTTCTGGGCGAGGATTAGCATCTTTATCGACCAGCATCAAGATAGTGTGCACTGCATGAAGGGCCTGCTCCTGTATCACACACACACACACACACACACACACACACACACACACACACACACACACACACACACACACACACACACACACACACAGTATGAAAGATGTGTTCAGGTTTGTATTGATGTTGGAGGTGATGATTAGTTTTCTGTGTCCTCACCTGAACCATGAGCAGTGATCTGAAGAACACAGAGGGCAGAGGACACTTCCGGCTGTCAATCACTACAGTAAGTCCCAGCTCTCTGACCTCAGTCCTGGAGACGACATTTTTTTTATAGAGTAATTAGTCATATATAGACATAGGCCTACAGAGCAATGAAAGAGCAGGAGAATGAAATAACCATCTTTACTAAATTGTAGTACACTATACTGTCAAAACAATTAAGCAGATTTTAATTTTGACATGCAGAAATTTAGATATTTAACATGTCAATGGTTTTCACATAAATATCGGCATCAAAAATCTATTGTTAAAATATTATTGAGCAATAACCACAAAAGTATTCAAAAACATGTAGGTTTTTCAGCACTGACAAATGAGATTCTGCCGTTTTTGGAATTATTGAATGTGAGGATATAGGCTAGTATAATTTGGAAATAATTTTCCTGATTACCCTGCTGTGGTTTATTTTGCGCTAATGACCGCATGCCGCTTATTACACCCCTAGGCTACTTACCAAATAAACAAACTTTGCGTTTGTAATATCAAATGAGAGCGCGGTTTAATACGATAGTCATGAAAGTAGCGCCGTTTTCTGTTACCCGGATGAGCGGACTGATATAAGCCGACAAAACTTCTTAAAAAGTTACACAGATGAAAATCTGTTTGAATTTCATTCCGTTCGTTCCATAATTTTGCTCCTAGAATGACAACCATATATTATAGCCTATTTATCAAATTCAATCAAATGTTTGCATTATTAAGTTTGACTATTTATTCGATGCTGAATAGTGCACAAGCCTGATAGACTACTTACGCTTGTTTCACATCGGTGGGTATTATTTGGTGCTGATACTTCATGTCCAAAAATTACACTGTCTCTTACTGCCCTCTTGTGGTGATTGAGCAGTCTGCTCTCTACTGGTACCTGGGAATGTAGTGCAGGAAAAGCAGAAGTCTGCAAAACTCCAGAGGAGAGAGTTGAGAGGAAGCCCATCCTTTCCTGCCGCCATACACCTCAACCACGGCCCGGCCAGCTCTGTCACGACTGCCTTGTGTTGGTAAGAGAACAGAATGGGTTCAAAACAACACAATTTAACAGACTGTCACGTCACTCTTTTGTGTGCTTGAACGTGAAATAGCTTTGTCATTTTGGCAACGAACATGACCGAATTTAAAAGCAAAAGCAAACAGTTACCATTGTCTGGATAAAACACTGATTGGAGACAATCATGTTCTGTATCGGGATTGCAAGTGGCTGCATGCTAACACTCCGGTCACGCCATCTGTGCTTCAGAAAAGCGCGGTCACGCCATCTACGCTTAAAAATATATTGCGCGTCTACACGAGGTTGCGTGGTAGGCTCAAGGTGTATGCGCTTGGTGTCGGCAGACTTTTAAAAAAAATGGTAAATGGACTGCATTTATATAGCGCTTTCACAGACCCTATGGCCACCAAAGCGCTTTACAATTTGCCTCACATTCACCCATTCACTCACTCATTCATACACCGACGGGCGACGGCAGCCATGCAAGGCGCCATCCAGCTCGTCGGGAGCAGCTGGGGTTAGGTGTCTTGCTCATGGACACCTCGACACTTGGTCAGGTGGAACCGAGGATTGAACCACCAACCTTCCGGTTTGTAGACAACCCACATGAACCACTGAGCCACTGCCGCCCTATCATAATAAAAACGCCCCTAAATATTCATAATAAAATAAATAAAATCAAATTGTTTTCTGCAAATTCCACCAGATTATTGTTCTACATCTCACAGACTACGACTGTGGTGATTTTCGTGTTGATCTACTGTTTTATTATTTAATAATTAACTGCCAAAGTCCTATACTGTATACCTGGCTATATAGGCATATTTGATAAATTCATAAAAAATTAAAATCCAATTGTTTTGTGCAAATTATTGTTCTTCATCTCACTGACTACAACTGTGGCGATTTTCATGTTGATCTACTGTTTTATTATTTAATAATTAACTGCCAAAAATCCTAGACTGTATACCTTTTTATACAGCAATATTTAATAAATTCATAAACATTTTAAATCAAATTGTTTTCTGCAAATTCAACCAGAATATTGTTCTTCATCTCACTGACTACCACTGTGGTGATTTTCATGTTGATCTACTGTTTTATTATTGAATAATTGCCTGCCAAAGTCCTATACTGTATACCTTGTTATACAGCAATATTTAATAAATTCATAAAAAATGCTAATCAAATTGTTTTCTGCAAACTCCACCAGATTATTGTTCTACATCTCACTGTCTACCACTGTGGTGATTTTCATGTTGTTTTACTGTTTTATTATTTAATAATTACCTGCCAAGGTCCTATACTGTATACCTTGTTATACAGCAATAATTAATAAATTCATAAAAAATGCAAATCAAATTCTTTTCTGCAAACTCCACCAGATTATTGTTCTACATCTCACTGATGTAGTGAGATGTTTATCAAATATTGCTTTATAACAAGGTATACAGTATAGGACTTTGACAGACAATTATTAAATAATAAAGCAGTAGAACAACATGAAAATCACCACAGTGGTAGTCAGGGAGATGAAGAACAGTAATTTGGTGGAATTTGCAGAAAACAATTTGATTTAACATTTTTATGATCTTATGAAATATTGCTGTATAACAAGGTATACAGTATAGGACTTTGGCAGTTAATTATTAAATAATAAAACAGTAGATCAACATGAAAATCACCACAGTGGTAGTCAGTGAGATGAAGAACAATAATTTGGTGGAATTTGCAGAAAACAATTTGATTTAATTTTTTTATGAATTTATTAAATATTGCTTTATAACAAGGTATACGGTATAGGACTTTGACAGACAATTATTAAATAATAAAACAGTAGATCGATATGAAAATCACCACAGTGGTAGTCAATGAGATGAAGAACAATAATCTGGTTGAATTTGCAGAAAACAATTTGATTTATAAATGTTATGAATTTATTAAATATTGCTGTATAACAAGGTATACAGTATAGGACTTTGGCAGTTAATTATTAAATAATAAAACAGTAGATCAACATGAAAATCACCACAGTCGTAGTCTGTGAGATGTAGAACAAGAATCTGGTGGAGTTTGCAAATTTTTTTTTGATTTTATTTATTTTATATGAATATTTTTTCAAAAGTCAGCCGACAGCAACCGCATACACCTTGAGCCTACCACGCAACCTCGTGTAGACGCGCAATATATTTTTAAGCGTAGATGGCGTGACCGCGCTTTTCTGAAGCACAGATGGCGTGACCGCAGTCATGCTAACCGTATATTAATGAGATGCTGAACTGTAAACATCATTCACATCGCAAACTCTATAGTCTATACAGGCCTGTCAGCCTTCAAACATTGTCAAGAGAAGACATAACTTGCCCTTTTAACAGACATCAACATTTACATTTGATGCATTTAGCTTCATCTAGAATGAAATGTGCAACCTGTACGTTTAAAGGGGTCATATAATGGTACATGCACTTTTACAAGTTGTTTGTACTGAAATGTGTGTTGGCAGTGCATGTTAGGTGTGGAACGGTACATGTATTCGTATCGAACCGAAATGGTACGGGCGTCACGGTTCGGTGCACGAATTTACACGGAGAATACACGGTATAAAAATAAATAAAACTGTAATGCGGAACTACTGTTAGATACGCGGGTTCTTTAGGGACACATAATCTGTACCATCGGCTTAGCTCTGAACGCACGTTCACTTCAAACGTTGGCTTTATACGCGCGTCCTATTCGCTTTGGACTAGCGTCGAACTAGACGCGAATTTGACGCTCTATTCGCGTTTGGTGTGACCGTGACCGCATAATGGACAGGCTGCGATGTCAAGATTGCAATGCTAGAGTGTGTGTGTGTGTGTGTGTGTGTGTGTGTGTGTGTGTGTGTGTGTGTGTGTGTGTGTGTGTGTGTGTGTGTGCGAGAGAGAGAGAGAGAGAGAGAGGCGCGCGGGCGCGATCGACCTGTGTGTGTGTGTGTGTGTGTGTGTGTGTGTGTGTGTGTGTGTGTGTGTGTGTGTGAGAGAGAGAGGCGCACGATCGAACAGTGGAAACATAAAAAACATACTCCGTCATTTTGTTCATTCAGATCATTAAACCTGCAAAGTGTTTACTTATATTTGTGTACACTCGCAACAAAACACATTGTGCTTTTGTCACACTGTAAACTCTTGTCAAACTGTAACCTACAACAACTGTCACCCAACCAAAATCACACACACACACACACTGTTTTAAAAGCAAAACATATTTATCCAACTCCATTTCAAAACAGTCTGTTTGTCCCATCTTTTGGACATTCGTCATATTGCATTGGTTTTCATTTCTTGTCCTCGGAGCACTAATCTTACACATTCTACATTGATTAAAAAAAGAAAATCGAATGTGTAATGGTAGTATTATTTTATACAGAAATCAATTATTTATAATTCAGATGAGAATAATGTTACATTGTCAATTAATAATGTTAATTAAAATTAAGGAAAACAAATATATTGATCTGAAAAATAGCAAAATAATTTTAAATTAATTCAGGTACAATTACCAAACATATCGCAAGGTCTTTTTGTCTTTTTATTAATTTAATTAATAAACTAATTATATAAAACAATTGTCAGTGCACTACAAATAAACTGGTTCTATGCCTTTATTAATAAAACTTATTTAAAAAATACAATGCCTTCTGCATTTTTGTTTTGCTTTTCCCTCCATTGTACCGAAATCGTACCGAACCGTGATGTCTGAACCGAGGTATGAACCGAACCGTGACTTCTGTGTACTGTTCCACCCCTAGTGCCTGTACATCATCGTAAAATGATAAAAATCCATCCAGTGTTTTTGTTTTAATCTCCTTATATGTTTTCCCCTGTCTCAAATCGAGCCGTTCGAGCAAGGTCGCACGCCCCTCCCACGATTGTTGAATGACAGCACCGTTTCAACACAGACCCGCCCTCGCTCGTGAGCCAGCTAGTCTGCGCGGACCGGCGCGGTCATTGTTGATATGCTGGAGCACTGTCTATGAGCAGAATGGCGTCTAAGCGATTGTGGTGTTCTGTTCTTGGGTGTAATAACGAACACAGCAGTCATTTTAAAGTAACACTAAGTAGTTTTTCAACCTTCATAATATATTTCCAAGACCCTTGTGATGGTACATCGACTTAAAATAAGTTAAATGACACGTCTGCCATAGCCTGACGTGGTCTGTATCGCTTTTACTGGTACTATGTAACTTCGGGTAGGAACCCGTGCACAAAAAGAACTACAAAATTCGACTGCTTTACGGCATACGTCACTTCCCCCACCACTTCCTCAAATTGCCTGTGGCAATTGCAGACATCCCAAGTCTCCCGGGAGTCTCCCGCATATTGATAGCATCTTCCTGATGCCCGAAAATTAGTTCAAATCTCCCGGAATCTAGAGCGCGCATGCGAGACAAAACATACTGCGTGCTTAACATACATAGTGCGAGGACGGCAGAGAGGGAGAGAGCGAGAGACCTTGCGAGTGTGCCTCACGAAAGCTAGTCAACCCGCCACCCGTCACCCGTCGCCCCCCCGTCTACAATCCAGTCACCAAGATATACCTCCCTGAAATGACTTCTTGCAGGTTGGGATGTCTGCCATTGTTGATTCCAAAGCCAGTGCTGGATAAACAGCGAGCGTGCGCATGCGACAGTAGGCTGCGGGAGGCTAAATTATTTACGACAGCGGTAATGGACAATTCCGCTTCCAACCTGTAGGGCGACCGCTGAGGAAAAGTTCCTTGGTGTTACTTTAATGTTCCTAAATCCGAACCGCTGAAGACGCAGTGGCTGAGTTTGTTTTCGAAGGGAATATTCCCCACGAGCAATGTCAATGCTTTCATGTTTGCGCGAATCATTTCTCACCAGACTGCTTTATAGACGAGGAACAGTATAAAGCTGGTTTTGCTAAGCAGCTGCTCATGAAAAAAGTATCGGTACCAGCTATTCATGTTCCTGCTTAAGCTGAACCTCTAGAACAACTGAAGTTAGTGTAACGTTTTATTAAACTTTATATTAATATTTATATTAATCTTTGCAAATCGCTAGCTGCACGCTTCACAATGAATGCGTCTAAGGTTTACACTAAGGGTACATTACGGCATGTTTTCTATGTATGATGTTGTCAATATAATTCATAATCCCACGTTTATACTGAACAACGCGTTATGGTTATTGTATTATTGTGTTACACACTGTGTACGCACAGAACAGAGAGGCGGGGTGAGCAAAGCTCATTATCATTTAAAGTCATATGCACTGAAACCGCGTGTTGAAAACAGAGCTGTTTTTGACCAAGTAAAATAAGTGTTTTCTTACAATACTAATGAGAATTTTTAATTAAAGTATATTACAAACTTTTAATTTAGACCCTAAATAATCATACTAGCTTGTACAAAAATGGCATTATATGACCCCTTTAAAGTGCATGTAAGAAGTTAGCAGCAAGTGGTCATTTAGAAGGTAATTTGATCAAGAGTAGGATTCCCATTATAGGTTCATGAATGTGGTTAAAGATTACGCTCGAATATGAATCATTTACTCACATTCAGAAGCCCTAAAAAGTCCTTGCATTATAATTTTTGTGTGTGTGATCTCAACAAAACATTAGTTGATGTTCCTCATAGTTTCCACGTGAAAAAGCCTGCCTGTTACCCTGTATTTTTGTCTTGTTCGGTTGAACACAAATTGAAAAGTTAGGCAGAATGTTCAAACTGTTCTTTTCTAATCCAATGGGAGTGCATGATAATTGTCAAGCTTGAATAAAAAAGCATGATAACAGTAGTCCATACAGCTTGTGTTAGTCATATGATCTCTGAACAGACATAAATTCAGTCATTAGTCACTGATGATCTTCCTTTTAACCAGAGCTCTCAAATATTATTCAGGCTTGTATTGAATTTTAACAATGACACTTTTGATTCTCTTGTGTCTGATCCTCAAATAAAGTTACTGTATCACATGGCTTCAGAAGACGTGTGGACTATTTTTATTTGTTTATTTATTTATTTATTTGTTTACGCTTGTTGTTGGGTGAATGTGATATCACAAAGTATGTTCCTGGATCAACATCTTTATTGATTTTGGAACAACATTCCAATCAACCAGTCAGATTTGAGGGACGGGTTTACCGTTTTTGCTAAGTTTAGGTTTAAAACAAGGGTTAGGTGCTTCTATCAGTGTTATAATCATTTCACTCTGATTTTAGGAATAAATTATGGTTGGGACTAGGTTTAGGGGTAGGGATAGGTTTAGGACTACATTTTCGAACAGTAATGTTGTTCCAGGATCAACAAAAAATGTTGATCCAGAAACATATCTTACTTGGCAAAATCATGGTGACCTTGTTGTTGATGAGACTGAGTAAATATGACCATTTTTATTTTTGAATAAACAGTTCTTGCTGTAGTGTCCTGCTCAAGGGCACAGTTATCTTATACTTAGATTAGTCTCCATGGATCAATCACATCCCCGAGCTTTAACCACTACAACACAACTGTTCATAATTAAAAATTGATTTGCAGGCATACCTGGTAGACAGATGATACCTAGTTGGAGAAGGCTCTTGATTGTGGGGTCCTGGGAAAGTAGTGTTTCCTGAACTCTATTCTCAGACTGATCAGCGTGTGATTTCTGAAGCTCTACTCCATTAACAACTGGTGATCCAGCTTGTCCAGAGGGGGAGACTTCTTAGAAAGAGGAGAAATTACTTTTATTTTCAACATTGGTAAATATAACAACACAAAAGCCTAATTCAACTTTTTGTACCTTTTCTGAACTTACTGAAATGAGTGAAAATCTAAGATGTGCGTCACAGCTAGATGGAGCTGTTGATCTCCCCTTTAGAAAATCTTTAGAAAAAAATGATTTATAAACTAAAGCCATGATCCTCCTCTTTCCAGTTACAAAGACATCTAACAGCTTCCCCATAAACGGGGGGATGTAGTTATTTCTGTTCCCTGCCCTGGCTCTTGGTCCTCATGAATGCTTTCTTTCTGTTCTGCTGAAGAAAGAGATCAGATGAAGGACTGCAGAAATTCCCCTGTGGAACGCCGTGCACGCTCCTGACCTTTAGCCAGTGTCACATTGCACTCTTTTAAGATGACCTTTCAGAATGGTATATTTTCTCCTCTGCAGAGGACCAGGGTCAAGGTTGTCTGTAAATCAGTCGATATGTGTCACAGCGTGCGGCAACTAGACATGGCCTCATAGTAGTAGTGGTTTTTTGTAAATTACTTCATATCAGTCATGTTTGAACAAGCTTTTCATTTAAGGATAAAGATCTAAGAAACAGCATGTTGGCCAGACATCATGTTGCTTCAGATGTTCTTTTAACAACAAAGTGGGATGTGGGGTAAAAATCTGTATGCAATTAGTTGACACACAGCAAGAAACCACAGATAGAATTTTTTGAATATTTCTCCTTATTCGTTTCTTCTAAATGCTTGTAACAAATCACAAGCACAAGTTCTTTTCACATGCAGTGGTCTAACTGAACTTACCCTTTCTTGCTTCTTGTTGTCTGTTTAATTTTGGGGACACCAAATTAGCTGTGTGTTTTATTCCCTGGATAGCTGGCAACATGGGGATGATCTCTGGATAGACATCACTGCGACTTCTGTTGGTCGGCTTGTGTGATTGCAGACACTCTCTGGTTGTTTCCGAGACTGAAGAGTATGAGCGGGATTTAGACCTGCTTTTACCTTTGATCACCTGTACAGGTGAACCTGGGCCTCTTCCACAATGTATGTCATCACAGAGGACTTTGCAATCCAAATGCCTGTTCTCGTTTTGGAAAAGGATCTGACTGCACTGGGGCTGAAATAGAGCAGGTGTTTGCTCAAAGGCCTGTGTTAGCTGGTTGTGTGAATGCTGAATTGGATTGAAACCCTGCAAACAATGATTAGCATCTTGTCTGTGACCACTGTGGTCAGGTAAAGCCCTGAGTCCCATTTTGGGTAAGTGTTGGGTTTTGGCGTGCTTCTGGCTGCTAATCCGTATCTGAAATGAATCTTGCCTAAAAGAGTTGTTCAGACAGTAAAGTCTTTTGTCGGGAAAAGCCTTAGTCCCTAGTGCAGTCTGATGTTGATCCTGTTGCCCAGTGAGGAATGCCTTGTGTTGTTGTCCCGCTGGGACCATGCTAGGGATCTGTTGGGTCATATGTTGTTCAAGAGACTCTGCGTTCTCCCTTGAAACACAGTCATGAGGTACACTTTGACTTGGCTGGGTTGAGTTCTTTGGGCTTTGCTTTTGTTGGGCTGAGTTCTCAAAGAATTGCATCGGGTTTCTGTCTGCTTGGTTTGGTGTCTGGCCAAATGTACAACTCAAAGGTTTAAGTCTATGGCCAACTCCATATCCCCCACAGCTTGGCTCCTCTACATCTGTCCTTGTTTCATCTAGAGAAGGCAACATACTTGATTTCTCAAAATTCACTGGGTTTCGGAGAGCTGCCACATAAGATTGACGATACCTGCATTTGGATTCTGGATCGTTTTGCATTATCTCAAATGGCTGTTTGTTTTGCATGCAAGGATTGCAGTCCTCACCAGACAGGTTGCCATTGCTTTTTGAGGCAGGTTGAGCTGTCCTGACTAGCTTGAAACCTGATGGTTTTGTAGGGATTGCTATTTTGTTGAGGACCAAAGTCTCTTTCTCCTTGTTAAACTCCAACAGATCCACATATTCTCCTTCCAGCTCTCCGTTGTGCCTGTTGTCCCAGGTATTAGGAGAGACCCAGCCAACAGGTTTTCCAGCAAAACTGCTGATTGGATGTCCTTGATCAACCTTCACCAGTCTGCTACCACCCTCCACCAACTGAACAGAAACCACCATCCCATCTTTTGCTGGAAGGATCCTAGTTTCCATCTCAAGTGGTAAGAAGTCCACAGGTACCTGTGACTGTGACACGTTCTCTGAAATCTCAGTTTTAAGATCTGTCACACGGAGAGTCGCAATTGAGCATGTCTGTGTTTCAGGCCATATGTTAGATTTGGGCCTGTCGAGGAATTCCGGGTTTGCAACTTCGGTCCAAGGTACCTTCACAACACCCTGGTCAGAGGAAAGCACACACTGACATAGAGGACTTCCATGACGTCCCTCATTTATTTCCCTTAGCCAAGACTCAGTGAATATGCATGGATAGGATGTCTCCGGGATTGGTGTCCCCTCAATCGCAGGACCATCCAGCACCCTGGAACCTGCTTGCAGTACCAGATTCTCCTGCCCCAGAAGGTCTTCCTGCACAAGAAGACTTTTGAGGACAATTCGGGCTGACTGTTCGCCAAAAGACTCCACCTGCAAGTAGAAATCTCCTGGTCGGAGCAGTAAAGGGTTGATGGGGGCGAGTTGGATGACCACACGATCTCTCAAGCACAATGGCCAACCCTCACACCGGAATAGGACATCGGAGTATGCAGCCTAGTGGGAGAGAGAGAGAGAGAGAGAGAGGGAGAAAGAGCAAAGCTGGTTTGTTGACTTGCAGATAGTTTTGGATTGACAGATTTTACGATCAACAGATTTGTAATGGCTTGGGTCTTGATGCCGTTTATTGGCTTGCATGCAAACATTCTTGAATGCCCTTCAGAAGAAGCTGCCTAGGAAGGCCTTTGTTCTTTCTGAAGATAAAACAAAACAATCTTGTGCTGAGTGGACAAGGATAAGTAGCATGTGGGATCTGTGCCATAAAAGTCCACATGGAAGAAATGTCTGCAGAGGAAATTGCTTTCATCTTGTCCGTCTACTAACATGCTTTACCCTTTAAAGGCTTAGTTCACCCAAACATGAAAATACATAATTAACTCACTCTTATGTCATTCACACTGTCCTTTTACATACATTCAAAGCATACAGTGAGCATGGCCTTCCAGGATCCAAAAAGCACTATAAAAGTTGTCATATAACCCTACTGCATATTTCAACTCTTCTGAACCTTCATGTTAGTGCTAGAACACATGTTTGTTTGAGTGTGACTACCTGTTTGACCAAACAATGAGTGTTTTTGCAATTCTGTGAAATTACCTAATTTACCTTAAGACATTATTCATTGAAACTCTTTCTCTTTGCTTTGGGTCTCATATATCATTGTATGGCTTCAGAGTACTTGGAATATAGTCTATGAACTTCCATGTTCCATTGAAGACAAAAGTCATACAGGTTTGAGATGACATGAGGGTGAGTAAATAATGACACATACACCTTTCCTTAAGTCACTTGCTAGGTAGGCTATTTGACATTTTTAGATGGTTGGCTTTTACCAAGGCGCTGTCCAATGGGCTTTTTTTGTGATTAGCATGTTGTACTCACACAGGCAGCTTGTTGCACACTCTCTAGGATATGTTTGGCTGGGATAAGGAAGTTCAGCAGGCACTGCAGTGCATCTCCATGGTAACGTTCCTCAATGGTGCGAAAGAGTTGGCTGAGAACAGTAGGAGCGGTAGCCTCAAACGGAGGGAAAAGAGACGACAGGGCGCTCTGAATGGACCAGTCCAGAGAGGAAGGGTTCTGAGGTGAAGAAAGGGAGAGATTTATTTGTGTGTTAGTTACTGTGTTCCTTGTCTGAAAAATATCCGTTGATACAAAAAACCATGATAGATGATACTGCAGTTATTGTACACAAGTCCTAAATGCTTTGTCTAAAGATGTAAAATGAGGTTTTTGTGAAATGCCTGTGGCAAAACCTTTTTCATTATTTCAACCCCTCCTAAATCTCACTGGTTGCAGAGAGAATGAAGCTTGTCATGTCAAGGATTCACTGTTTTGGCCTAATCTAATCCACATTTTCCATTCTGTCGATCACCATATGAAGGCAGTTCGTCTCTTTCTCAATCCATTGTAAGTGGAGGAGACGGCAATGCGATCAAAAATGAATGGAAGAAATCATAATGCTAAGTATGTCAGTTTATGAAAGAGTGCAGGGTGTCCATGCACATCTGAAGAATTACAGCGACTGTCTCATATTTGCTCTCCCAAATATTTATCATACATGTTTCTCATGCATTCCTCTGTAATGAGGATGTTGGGTTCACCTTTCAAGTGTCCGACTTGGAATAATTTACAAAGCAGATGTGGGAAGAGCACAGGGAATGCTGTGTGGAAAATGAGGGAAGTCTGGATGACCTTGGTTTAAACCTTAAAACAGACTCAAGCTGTTACAGAGTGGATTACTAGGTTGGATCTCTTAAACTGCACGTTTTAAACTATTTTTATGCAGCTCAGTGCAATGATTAACCATGGAAAGAAAAGCATGCTTTAGCCATGTTAAGATATTTGTGTGTTTAGTCTATTAATCTTCCTGGTTTAGATGATTACAGTGTGATCTTACACAGGAAGTTTATGTCTGCTTAGGAAATAACAAACATAACAAATCCCTTCCTTTATAAGAAAAAAATAAGTAATGTCTGTGATTTATATAACAGTGTACCAGACCAGAATTAGAATAGTTTGTTTTATTTCCAGTTTAGTTTAGTTTTAGTTTCACTCTCATTGTTAGATTCAGATTAATCTTTTTAAGTTTAGTTTTCCTTTGTCAGTTTTAGTATTTAGTATTTCATCAGTCTAAAACTGAGTTTTTTTATTTTTTATTTCAGTTAGTTTTGGAGTGGCAGAAATGCATTTCAGTTTAGTTTTCCAGTTTATGTTTTCTTATTATTTTTCATTTACTCTTTCCCCGCCAAACACAGAATTTTCTGGGTTTCCGTGTTTTCACTGTTATACACTGAAAGAGTACTGAATCCCCTGTTCAAAACACATGCGAAGAAGATACAGAAACAAGCGATCTGATATGTAATCATATGCATATGTAAAATAACGCGATCATCAACATTAAACAGTAAATCAAAACTGCCTAATGTTAAAGAATGAAATGTCGACCCAGGATGAGTTACAGGACTGTGCAAGCATTAGGGGTGTCGATGGACTCGATTTACTCCATCTGTGCTTAGATAATCTTTCTGAATCCCATAGTCTTTGACAAAAATTAGATTTTTTCAGCTGTATGTTTAAAATTTAGCTTTTTTTTATTAAACTTACCCATATTCAAGTGTTGATTAAAAAAAAGAATGCATGAAGCAAGAATAAAATGTTGTTGTTGTTGTTGTTGTTTCTTTTAAAGCAGAGGAGTTCTTTCTGTTGATATATTGCATGTTCAGATATTCATACAACAAAATATTCTGGGGGCCATGACATTTTTATGAAAATTATCAAAAACGCTGGCAACTTTTAAAATAAAACTCTGGCGGGGAAAGAGTTAACAATGATAACAATGTAATGGCCTGACAGTGTTTACAGTAAGTGATGTTTGCTAAGACAACATCACTATTATCATTGCTCATTCTTGGGGTTAGTGAACAAATTCCTAATCATAAGTTTTCAACTTTGTAGTTGTATCTCATCCTTCACCATTTGAGCTACAGACAAGAATGATTCCTTAAAGTCTGCAGTTTGTCAAATCAATGGAAAACCCCCAGTTTGAGCTCTGCTTTGTTAGCCTTTCAATGATACAGACATCAGATGCCTGCTTTGTCATGTACTCGTCTATGAAGTATGCACACATTGATGTTTATCTGCACTAGACTTTCTCACATTCTCACCATTTCCTGCTTGATAGTCCCAGTGATAAAGCATTTCGGCATGTTGTTACTTGTGTTATTATTTTTTATTTACAACTTATTGTAGTTCATGAGGTTATTCAAGAATTCCCTGAATTAGACATCGTCACTTTTCATTAAAGGGATAGTTCACACCTTTTTTTTTTTATTGTGCCATTATTTACTTACCCTCATGTTGTACTTACCTCCAAACAGTTTTTGGTCCCCATTGACTTCCATAGTATAGAAAAAAATTGGGGTCCATTAACTGGTTACCCATATTCTTCAAAATATCTTCTTTTGTGTTCAGCAGAAAAAAAGAAATTCATACAATCAGGAACAACTTGAGGGTGAGTAAATGATGACAGTATTTTCATTTCTGGGTGAACTATCCTTTTTAAAACCTATAGGCTAACTGTGTAAAATCATTCAATTTGTTGCTAATACGACATATATTTTCGTGAAACTATTGAAAACTAAATAGAAAATTAAACTTATAAACTATTGTAACCCACATTGGCTGATGCATCTTCGCCTATACTGTATGTCGATCCCGAACAGAAGTAGAACAGGACCTTCCACAATGGGTTTAATGATTGATAATTGTGAATGATTGTGGAAAAACACAATAGCCTTTTTGTTTAATCGTTAACTAAATTAGTTTGTCTGAGCCTTGTGTGCGTCTCGTTCAGGGTGGTCCGTCCCGTGAGCATGTCGAACCGCTGACTTTCCCATCCTCTCTTTTTCTTCTCCAGTAAACACATCTGCGTGGTCTCGCCATGGCCTCGGGCCTGTTATTCTGTTTACCCCCGTTACTTCTCCTGTTACACGTCCACACCTCGGTTTTCAAAACACGTCCAAGTCAAACTTCATTTAACAAATCCTCAGGATCACAAATGAGGGATATCTGGGGCCTGGCGTTGTTCCTGAAGTCTGGTATTTGCATTCAGGAGACTGACAATTGCATTTTTCAGTGTTTTTGTAAATATAACCCATAGACGAAGCCCTTGGCTGAACTTTGGAACGTTAATTTGAAGGCTCATTTGATATCTGGAGATGTTAATAGGGTCAGTTTTCCATGTGTAGAAACTATTTGAAGCACTTTACAGAAATAATGCCGTCTGTCTTCACCTGCAGGATTTTAGCTTTACAGTTTTGGCGTGACAACTCTCAATTAAATCTAAACATATACAGTTGTTGTAAAAACATAAAGGAACTTTTCATTTGGCAGCACACAAGTCTATCTAATCACACAAGAGCTCAACAGGTAATTATAAGCTTCAGTCTAATGTTTGAAACACACCAAAACTCAGCTGTCATTAATTCTGAGGCATAAGATGATTTCATACATGCACAGTAAACAAACAGTTTTTCACAAGCCTTGTATTTAGTGGTGTTTGCTAAGGCACGCATTACTAATACAGGTTAGTGTAATTCCTCACCAATGTCACAACAGTGTCAGTAAAGCTTTGAGATAAAATATTAGGTGTTTTCCAATCAGTGCTATATGCAATATTTTTATGTGTGTACTACAAAGTCATATGTACAGGCCGTAGGAGGATTGTAACTTTCGTACAAGTAGGTTTCAGGCATGTGTGGGGTGGCGAACTTGTGCATGCAATGTGCAAAGACCATTTTTGACTGTAATTTGCCATGAATCGTCAATCCACTTAGAGGCAGTATCATGGCTAGTATGACCTGTAAATGTCAGTGACATAATTTGCATGCATGCATATTCACTTTTGCACATTATTAGTTGACAAATTATACTAGAGAGAGTGTGAGAAGTGTGTTTAAGTCCATAGGACCAAAAGTTCCCATGGATGAAGAAATATTCGTATGCAAAAAATGGTGCAATAGGAGAATACTACCAAACATTGTTTGATAATACATCCTTGCTTTGCTCAAAGAATAAGTCTTGACTTGTTAAGAGCCTTTTCAATACCCTCATTTCAAGCTCTGTAATCACTTCAGGGTAGCACAAAGAGCATGTTAAAAGTACAAGTGGTAGAAGTTAGAAAGTCCATCTGCACTCTTGAGATGAACACTAATCTAACCTGAACACGATTCTTCATCATCTGTCAGCTTTGGAAAGTCTCTCATTACAGCTGTCAAATTCCAGTAAGTTGTGATCCTGCTTCTCCTTCTCCTCCTCCTCCTCCTCCTCTCCTCAGGACAGCGTTGTCTTTGTCTCTTTGCCACTGTGGTTTAACTCCTTACAGAGGGAGTTTGGCACAATGGAGCGTTCTCACTCTCATCGGACAAACATCTACAACATCTGACTACTACTCCTCGGTTTACTCACTAGTTTGAATACGGTTTTCAGAATAAATTTTTTTTTTTTTTTTTTGCAGCAACTTCTTAGTTAGCTGATGTGTGTAATTTTCCTCTGCTTTTTTAGAGATTAACATTAACATGATTTACCTAGGTTCTCCTATTGTATTTTGATTCTAATTTGGTTTTTAAGACTGCTTTCACACTAGCACTTTTTATGTAATATATAATTTATGTCTTTGCATGTTCTTGGTCACGCTGATTACATTATAATGCATTTCTTTGTGGCCCAGAATAAATTTCCTTTATGCATTTGTTGCATTCTTTGCATCTTTTGCAATCCATGCTTTGCAGACAAACAAAAGTGCTGTTCTGTCTGTTTTTTTGGTGAATCCAAATGGACAAATACTTAAAGGAACACAGTGAAACCAAGTGCTCTCCTCTTGTGTCATTGTCTAACCAGTAAACAGCGTTCACTAGTAAAAGTACATGAAGGAATCTGTAATCGAAACAAGTTTAGAACACCCTAACACAGTGTCTGGAAGCAAACAATGAGCCTGGAAGCATCAAAACGGCATGTTATCATGGCAGAAATACTCTTTTTTTTTAATGAAATCTGGTTGTTTAAAAATGCTCAATATA